CTTGCACCCTCCCCAGGGCTCCTGCTCCCGCCTCTCTCCCTCTGGCTGAAGCAGGCACACACCTGGATGCTGACAGTCTTGTATAACCTTGGTTGGAGGATGAAAGCTCAACTTCTGTGTCCAGCAGCTGTATACAGAGGGGAATGTCCCTCAAAGACCTGCACAGGTTCCCAGCAAGACCCAGATGCTGAGCCTGAACATACTGGATCCCTGCAGCAGCAATGAGCATGTACTCAGCCTTGCCACCTCACTGCAACCCACATGCAACAGCAGTGGTACCTCCCTATGGTCCCCTGTACCTGCACAGCTGACACTGCACTAAAGAGATGAATCTTCAGCCAGTCCATGGTCTAAGCCCTGCTTCTCTCGCTCTACAATCAGTGCCCTGCTCTGGCAGAGGGGCTGACCCCAGATATGTTCCTCCCTAGCACCTTTATTAAACCAGTCTCCTAAAATGTCCTCAGAAGGACAACCGAAAATCCAAACACTAATCCACATGATGCCTGATACAAAAAAATAAACCAACAGGATCCTCCCATTGCTATTTCCTTTTGTTGGATGACTTAAACGGGTTGTAAAGACATTCAAGTGACTAATTTTTGTCTCTGCAGCGGAATAGGGGTGGGAACACATCACCTTGGATTCTCTGATTAGTCACACAAAACACTGCACTGCACAGAAATTAAAAGGGATACAACCATTTAAGCCTCAAAGAAGACAGTGGATAGACAGTCACACCACTCAGCCACCCAAGTTCTCACTGATGCATACTAACTTGCTGTCTTTTTCAGATTAGGAAAAGTTGAGAAGTTTGTGTAGAAAAACCTACCAACGCTTGCAGTGGGTGTCATGCACAGAACTGACCCTGCACACCATGCATTGAAGCGTGGAAAGATGAACAAAAGGGATATTTCATTAGTGAAGCTTCAGTGTTAGAAATCACCTTAACTAAAAAGCAGGTATTCTCTTTGCAGCATTCAGTATTTAAGCACATGCAAACAGATTCTGCATAATGGTACATAAATAGTTTAAACTCAGTTTTAAGAGATCATAGCAAACCAAATTAATTCTTGAATTCTTGGGTAGCAAAGAATATGTTTCTTCTCCCACCTTGGTATTAAATTACATGCTCTATCCTAGAAATCAGGGTTGTTTGGGTTTTTTGGTTTTGTGTTTTGTTTTGTTTTGGAATCAGGTATGTGGAATTCTTTCTGACCATGTCAGCAGAAAACAAATTGCCCTTAGAGGAACATCACACTTATGTTAAAACTGACTTTCCAAAAGCAATTTAATCCTGCAAGCAAGGATTCAAAGTCTCTAGTTTAAGCTGAAAGAGGCAGTTTTTTTCTGGACTTGAAACAATTGCAGTGATGATGCCATTTTCAACTGACATCCTGACTTTCTCCCCCATGGCAACACACAATGCTGATCTCTCAATAACTGAAAAGGAGAAATTAAGAAAAGCAACAGCTCACTTCCCCTCCCCACGGTGTGAGCTGCTACGTGCCACTTCTTTGTTTCGCTTTCCAAAGGACCGCAAAGGCTGAGACCAGATCTGCAGTCTGATGCATAAGGGAAAACGGGGATATGCAACATAAACTCGTCAGAGATCCATCCTCTGACTGGAAATTTGCTGCTCTGCCCAGCATTAATGTCCTCAGATGAGAGCAGGTGCCAGCAAATAGACCTGTTATGCATCAGCCCTGCATGTAATTTCATTGCCATGAGACAGGGCACAACAGCACAGTGAGAGTGCGCTGGGTAAAAGCTAATTTATGGCGCTTGCATCAGAAATGCATGTCCTTATGTCAGCTATGGCAACTGTGACCTCGAGGAAGAGGAGCGTGTAGCCAGCTGGGGGACTCGGCATTCTCAAAAAGATATCAATGTCTCCTGAAGTATTTTGCTTGGCACCTGACAGAGTCGCGGTAAGGTCAGTTCAGCCCATCCCCTCCAAGAGCACTTCGCAGAGCACACGGGGGGAGGCTACTACTTGAGTCCCTCCCTCTGTCTCTCCGTACAAGACTCCACTTCCCTGGAAGAACATCTTGGCAGCTGCTGAGTTCTGAGTGTCTCCAAGTGCCCTCATATCAGAAAGACCACACAACAGTGGGTTTATGTCCCAGCTCTCTGGACCTATGCTCAGTTTGAGACAGTTTGGTCTCAGTGTAAGACTCTCTAAAGCTTCTCCCCTGACCGCAAGGAACAGAAAGGCCAAGGTCCAAGTCCACTGTGTGTTCACTTCGAGGAGCCAGCCCAGAGAAACACTTTGTATGTTTTAGCAAATATCACGTGGCAAGTGAATACGGCATTAAACATTAAAAACACTGGGCATTCATTTTCTTACTATGCTCTACAATGATAATAATGATACTAAAAAACAAGCTATCAGCTCTGGAATATTCCTAATTCAGCCACTTATAATACTTACTACTCTAAGCAGGTTTTGTTTTTCATTTGGTTGCAGTGAATAGAGGTTAATTGGCTAGTCAGCAGTCACATCTGCCATGTCAATATTTCGAGTTCTATATGAATTACTGAACTGCATCTTTCAATTTTACTCTGAGACCTTAAAGGTACAATAAAAGCTGGGAGTTAAATTGCTTTTAAAAAGCTTAGGCTATCGTACTGATCAAAACAAGCAAGGGAGAAATATATGCCTTTAAAGAGGATTATGTAATTTGTATTTACTAAAGACAAACCGTTCCCTCTATAAACATCATGGCTGCTGGAATATGTAGGTCATTGAGACAGAAGCCCAGAAAGATACCCGCAGCTTCAAGTGAGCAGGAATAGAGGTCCTCAAGATATTTTAACATGAGTCCGTTAAGAGTGCTACACAAGAGTCAAAGAATTAATTTGGGATTAACTGGTTGAACCATAAAGAGGAGAAACAAAGTATGAATCAAGAAACTTGCAGACATTTTTCTTAGTTCGACCACTTAAAAAACCCCCAAACCAAACAAAAAAGGCTAAGAAGGGACCTTTACAAGTGAAAGCTCTGAATTGTAGTAGGTGAAGGAAAAAAAAAGTCAAACGACACACATTAACTTTCCATCCATTTTTAACATGAAACTACACACTGATACTTTTTTGCTAAGGACTCTTACAAATCTGCTCATTAGCTCAATGCCTAGGTCATAAAAAAGACAACTACGATGCTGGGGAAAGCAAGGAGACACTTACCTGTAGGGATGAATGTAGGCTGTTGCAACTGCATGTTGGCTAGAGCCTGTTGGTAGTGGAAAACGCTTGGGTTAAAGACTGTGGTGGCACCATTGTTTTTTTCAAGTGCTGGCCTCTTTGGTAAAGGTTGAAGTGCACCAGGCGGCAGGGCCTGTGGATAAGGGAGTCATTAAAGACAAGTGGAGTAAAACAAGGGGCCCAGATGTAGATCAAGCATGCAACAAATAATACGGGGTCTTGTCTGCAAATCACCTGCAACTGTTATCAACTTAGCGAGACAGGAAAGAGAAGAGCAGCTAAATCACAGCAGAAGTAGTAGGCAAAACCACAAGTTCACTAGATAAGCAGTTAGTAAATGCACCAGGATAATGGGCAGAGTCCAGAAGGAGGAGGGATGCTAAGGGAGATTTTCAGTAGGACTGACTTGGGCACACAGGAAAAAAAAAGCATGAGGAGAAGGCAGGGGAGAGGCGATCACCTGGACAGGATACTATGAAGAGCAGTTGCAGGCAAGAAGCATTTTAAAAAAAAAATACCAGGGAATAAAACTACAGTAGGTGACTATTTAAAAACAAGAAGATTAGCATAATCAACAAATGCCATGGAAAAAAAGGGATGCTTGCTTCTGTCTGTTCCATATACCTGCCTACATATACGTGTGCACGTGTGGAAGTGTGCACACTTGTTTGCAGTCGACCCATGTGTCCAGGTGGTAAAGTGGTAGCTGTTGCCAATTACACGCGTAACGTTACATTCATAGTAAAATGCATTTCCACTTCCTAGTGGAGAGGCTGAGCAACATGGTCAAGAACAGGCCTGATTTGATTCTCCACTGCTTGCACCGGCAGCACAGCCTACCACCAGCAGATTTGGACCTGCTCCCAATTTCTAGGAGGTGGCCTCCAACAGTTAAATACCGCTTGCTCGTTATTAACAGTGGAAAAAGCCATTGACAAACCTGGTGTTCGAACAAGATTTGGGTGGGCCTTTCTATCAGGCAAATCCCCTCTTTTTGTTTTATCACACCACTGAGCTTCTTCCAGCCAGCCAAACCTGTTTCATGATCAGACTTGGTAAAAAGCATTAACCCAACTCAGGAACTTTTCTCAGCAAGTTACTCATCAGTCACCAAAGCATGTCTCAACAGCAAAGTAGTATGGCAGGTTCTTAGGAGACAGGAATGTTTCTAATGATTTACAGCTTTTCATTGTACCCAAGTAGAAATCACTTTTTTTTCTCCACTTTGTGATAGAAAAGGGCCCTTTTTAATTATGCCCTGCAGTCCTTTTGCACGTAACACTCCCATTGACGTCAATGAGATTTACGCACGTGGAAGTCATGCAGAATCAGGTCATTTCTGCCTAGCTGTTAGTCTATATCATGTAGCAAAGCAATGACTGAAAAATAGGGTTATCACTCCTATTTTTTTTTTTGAATAGGTGACAGTGAAGGGTAGGTAATGGAGGAGGTTTAGCTAATGAAGGGTTAAGGCTACAAACACACAGTGCTCAGAAGAAAGGACACAAGTAAAGAGATTTTAAAGCATTATGAAGATCAACACACAACAGAATATAAGTGAAAGCTTGCAACAGCTTGTCAGCATCTAGAAACAGGTTTCACTTTAATTTGCTACAGGAGACTGCTCATCTGAGAAATGTTAAGCAAGATACTTCCAGGCAAAACATTACTTCATCCTATCTTGATTCACATGGTGGCTTTTGGGTGGTTTTAATATTTAAAAAAAAAAAAAAAAAGAAAAGTAGAAGAAATTGCATTTGCAAAACTGCCCTCAGACATGCATGCATCCTCTTCTAATGCTAGCAGACATTAACAGTGCCAGCATTAGGACTTAATATTTCCAGATTTCTTCTGACTAGTATCAAAAGACAGCAGTCAAATGGGACAATGTTCTCAGACACAGACACCAAAATCTTTTGCTTAAGATCTGTATTTTAGGATAAGGTCTTTTAGGTAAAGATCTAAAGAGTTTCCATTTCAAGGTAACCCCCCGCTGATATTTATGTTAAATCTGACTGTATCTATATCTTGCTTATTTAATGACAGCTACATGAATGTTCCTCCAGGCACAGGATAGATCTGCAGCTTGCAGAGACTAGAGTAGCTCCATGTACATCAGAGGTGTTTTACAGATTCACAGTGACTGAAGAACTTGCTGCTTAAATTCATGCTCCTTACTGTGCCTGATTGCTAAACATTCTTTTTCAGATGCTTCCAAAATCTGCCTCAGAAAAAAAATACTAATTATAGCAAAGCAACTGTGCCAGGCACATAATGGACTTTTGACTCCTTGCTTCTCGGCCAAAGGCTGCCACCACCCCAAAAACCCCATTATCCCATAACGGCAGTGCCAAAAGCAGAACAACTGAAAGCTTTGAGATGTGCTGTGATGTCCTGGCTCTTTACAGGACAATTCCTGAGTCCAGCATTGCAGTCAGAGGGAGCATACAAACACCAACAGGCTGCAGGGATGTCAAGGCACAACAGGCATCATCTCTCTAACATCACCCTTCCTCCTACCCTACTACAGGCCCTTGGAAGCAAGGGAGAGAAAGAAGCTACAGCAGCCCCTCCCTGGACAGAAGCCTTGGGAAATGCCTAGACAGCAGGTGGCTGAAGCCCAAATAAATACAACATTTCCAGAGTCTTCCAAAGAAACAAGCACACTGCAGCAGCTGCTGTGCAGCCTGAAGGCTGGCTCAGCCACATGGGCTCTGTAGGCACAGGAGCCAGGAGCTCTGTCTCGGTCTGCTTCTGGTTTGACACAGCCTTCTGGGTCACCGCTCCCACCCCAGCAGCTGGAGAAGCGTTCGTAAAGGAACGTGCCCTGAAGATGCGGTCCTCCTGTTGCCAACCTATCTTATTTTAGATATTAAGGTGCAGGAGAGCCCAGCGGGACAGAAGGATCAGGCTTCACCACTTTCCAGCCTTTGTGTTGAGGGTAAGAACCCCAAGCCTGGAGCACACTCACTGAAAAATCTACCCACAAATGACTGAGAGAGGTGTCTAAAACTGCATGTGAAGAAGTTGGGCCAATACAGCTCCTGCACACGGATCTGGCAGGGACACAGGAGCAAACAAAGCGTGTCTTATTTGAAATAGGCTAGAATTTTTTTATCTGTCTCGGGACCTGCAGGAATTACAACAGCTTGTGGCGATACAACATTTCTGTCTTGTACCATGCCCTGGTTCTGAAAGAATCCCCCAAGCGTGTCCTGCAGCACGTACAAAACGCAACGGGAGACTCCTCAACACATTCTGTAGCAAGTGCCTCCCTACTGCAGGACAGGAGCTAGACTAAACCCTTATAGCAAAGAACTTATTTGGTGAGTTTACCTCATCCTGCTGCTTGTGATTTCCCTCTGGACAAGCTCTGACTGTCACAGAAATAGCAGCAGCCTTTGATAGTAACTTTTTCAGACTTTGTTTTTTTTCCTCCGTGTGCTTGTGTGCATACATGGGTATGCAACCCAAGTAACATGATCAGGCCGTCTGCACTGGTGAAGGGGTTAATTCAGTTCAGCATCCACGTGATAGCCTCCATTGATCCCTATGAACAATTCCCACTACAAAAATGCCAGGCAGCCTCCCATTTTTGGGCTGGGAAATCCACATTCCTACTGGAACAAAGAGGTTTGTGCCACTTCTCCATGGCATGGAAAGCAATCTTTCAGCATGACTAACAGATAAAAACCGTGCATGCCACAGTCAAAGTTTCCCACGTGCTGGTTAACAACCCTCTCTTGTTATTTTTTGCAAGACAAGAACTGGATTAAATCTTTGCAACAATGTAATTGCACCTCAAAGTTCCCCTCAAACCACTGTCTCCTGCGAGCAAATTACACTTTCACCCCTTTGCACTCAGCAAAGAGGGGCTGGGTCTGCATCTGGCTTGCTGCTTCAGTCCAAGGCACGACAAACACAAAATTATTTGAGAGGGAGCAGAGGCAGTGCTCATTCCCTGGCAAGCAACAAAAGCAACCTGAGCAGTTTCCTCTGAAGCTTATACATGCTCTTATCACCACTGTGAATCCTTCTCTGGTGCAGCCTTCCCGAAGGGTTCAGAGGAGGTGACATGCAGTTGCAAACCTTCAGGTGGTCCAGAGCAGGAAGACTATTAGAAGTAACTATCTAATGGGGTTTTGTTCAGTGGTGGAGGTCAGGAGGGTAGGGAAGTTAAAGGGCTTTCCCATTCTCTGCCAGACCACACCTCCTCAGAGAGGTGGCTCTTGGAGAGGGCAGCGAGGCACCATGCAGGTCACTGCCTGCGCTGGCTTTGGGGCTGTGTATGTGCCAGCCATGAGCAGTGAGAGACTGTTATGCCATTTACAGCCTAATTCCACAACTACTGGTGGAAGGTGGTTCCTAGCAAGGTTCCCTACTGCTGCTGCATAAAACTCTGACGAGGAAGCCTCTCGACTACTTAAAGAAAAACCCAGAAACAAATCTTCAGAGGAAAGAGAGATCAGCCTCTGCTTCTTAGCTCTGAGAACAAGGAGCAACACCAGCTTGAAGGTTTCTGGGCTCCTATGTGTCCACTCT